ACCCTATTTGTAGGATTCCTAGATAGGACAGAAGTGCTTTATACATTGCCAGTTGGTACATGAATGAATGGTCGACGACAGTGAATAATACTTTCCCTTAGGTCATTGAATGTTTTTGAAGGAAACATTGTCGTGACAGTCCTTGCCAAACTAGTTCCGTTGTTTTTCAAATGTTCTTACTTTTTCTTTGTTTCTTTTCTTACGCGCTCTCTAATTGACAGGTGTCAGACAGTGACAGATACTGGTAAAAATAATGTTTCAAAGTTTGTTTGGAGGCCTTTTAAATCACCTTTATCATTACGCAAATGAAAATGTTTCGGTAAGGCATCTCTCTTTAATTTGCATCACCTCTTTTTTAACTACCATTTACTCGTTAAAAAATTGTTCAGTTTATGGAAGATCTTGCCGTATTTACAGCCCTAAATCATTCGGGTTCTTTCGGAAAGAATTTCGTCAAGTTAAAAAAAAAATATGTTATTTACCGGCTAAGGGTTGATCCGTATGGTGAAAAACTGTGACCTCGGTCTTGAAAATGCTGCATGTACATCAAGACCTCGATCATAGTTTTTCACCGTACGAACCTTCCGGCCGGCAAACTGACATTTATTTATTTTTTCAAGTCATAACAAGAAACTCCCAATTTCTTGAAAAACGGCTTTTTCCTGACCGGCTTAAGTCAACCCGTCCGGCCCTGTACACGTCAGCTTTAACTGTGGTTTTCTAGGGGATTAGGCGAGCGGGGCCAGACGGGTCATACGATAATTACGAATATGCCTCAACTGCACGCGCGAGATTTGTATCACAAGTTGCCGGTTTTCATTGTCACGCCATCATCAAAACGTACAACAAATAAAGTCAAGAATCAAAATATAATCAAAATATAATCATCTATATGAGTACTTATTCTCATACTAGGACTGTTCAGATCGCGAAATCTAAGCGGATGTCACTTTTTTTTAAACCTACGTGACAGCATTCTTGGCCGCCATTTTAATGTCGCTTCGCGCCAAAGCTTAGAAATTCAATCTTGCTTTCTCACAAGACGAAAAACCCTAACAAGCTGGAAATTTGTAAAAAGTAAGTCTTCAACAGTTCTTATAACTAACCGAACTAAAATCTCAAAGGGATTGATAATTCCTTATTTTCTAATTTTGAAGACGTGACGTGAAAACCAGATAAAGCGCGCTCGCGACTGAAACTATTCCTAGCCTTCAGCGTGGCATCCCCTCAGGACAGCCATCGATAATGGAGTGGGTTAATAATAACAATAGCAATCTTTCATCAGGAAAATTTCATTACATCACTGTGGTTTTCAGAAAGGTCCTAGGAGACTTGGCAAGAGACTTGGGAACCCCTTTAGAAGACGACCTAAATATGAAGGACTAAGCCGACTAGACAAAGCATCCCATTTACTTCACGACCTTACTGAACAATTCAGTGATAAGCGTACCAATTACCGCCGATACCAGAACCTAAACAAAGGAAATTAATTAATTAACCGCACAACGGAAATGTTGACCTTTAAAAGCTAATCATACTCTCGTTGTAATCTGAGGTTAATTGAGCAGCTTATACTATAAAGAAGGAAAATTTTACTGTGACAGGCCGTCATCGAAGATCTCATATTCCGTAAAATGCCCCATCAAAAGGGATTGATAATTTCTTATTTTCTAATTTTGATGACGTCACGTGACTGAAACTCTTTTGAGCCTTTAGCGTGGTGTCCCCTCCGTGAAAATGTTATTATTACAAAGGACAGACATCAATAATGGAGCAGGTTTAGGTAAGAGACTAAGGAACCTCTTAACGTGACGACCTAAATATGAAGGCCAATACCAGAACCTAAACAAAGGAAATTAATTTATTAACCGCACAACGGAAATATTGACTTTTAAAAATCACACCGTTGTCATCAGAGGTTATTTGAGCAGCTTACACTGACAAAGAAACTTTATTACGACAGACCGTGATCGAAAATCCTCTAGTCCGTAACAATGTCTCATCAAAAGACCGAAGTGGTTTCCAAGTCCAACGAATTAACTTTTCTGAGGACAGTGGATTTGGAATGCTGTATTTGGTGAGTTGAATATCATTGCTGGCTGTCATATTTTGCCATCGTTTTTGTTACCGCTCATTTCCAGTGCTATTATACCGCCACATTCCTTTTCAGTTATAGCATCGTGTCAAGGCCCGTTACCCTTGCCTGTGGGCACTCTGGCTGCAAAAATTGCATGGAAACTTGGGCAGAATCGACAGCCACACCGTTGTGTCCCCAGTGTCGGGCAACGTTCCGAAAAGAAGAGCTGAGGTTAAATGTGGCAATGGATAAGGCGTCCCGAGATTTGCCTGTTAAATGTAACAGCCAAGGCTGCCAGTGGAAGGGCAACTATAGCGATGCCAACGATCACCTCAGACATTGCCCAAAAGTACGAGAGAGGTGCCCCAACGAAGGATGACAGCACGTGGCGGCACGGGAAGAAATGACAGAACACGCTTGCCCAAAAGAAAGGATCGCATGTTCAGGATGCCAACTGAGCGTAAC